AAAAAAAATCCCAATCCTTGTAGCTGTATAACCTCCACCTGTCTAGTATACCCTCCATCAGCATACCTGCCAGCTTTCCCAGTTTGGGCCTCTGGGGGACTTTTGCTCCAGTCAGCCACAACTAGATTGGCAACTGTTACCCACAGCATTTTTTTCCTTCAGCCACCCCTAGACTGTGGAATGACCTGCCAGAAGCTGGATGTGCTGTCAAAGTTTCAAACAAGACTCTCCTGACAGGCCTATCCAGTCTATTTTTAAATTATGAATTTTAAAGTCTGTACTGATTGTTTTTCCATATGTTTTGGTTTTATATGCTCTTTTAACTGTGTTGTGTGTTTAATTTGTTGCTGTTTGCCACTTCATTCCATAGGGAAAGGCAGGTAAAATAATAATAATAATAATAATAATAATAATAATAATAATAATAATAATAATAACAACAACAGCAACAACAACAACAACATCTTGAATCCTATTGATAGTGCCAATTAGAGTAGATTCACTGAATCATTGTGATTTCCATAAGTGTTGATTCAGTTTTCTACAACTGATTCAATTGAGTCTACTCTAGTTGGGCATTACCTATAGCCGTGGTGGCAAACCTATGGCACACGTGCCAGAGATGGCACGCTGAGCCATTTTTCTTGGCACGCGGAGGGCGGGACAGAAGAGAAACAGGCACACACTTGTTCCTCCTCTTCCTGGCCATCCAGAGAGGCAGCTGAAGGCCATGGAGGGGGAGGGGGAGGAAGTCCCAGCCCCAAAGGGCAGAAGTCCTGTCCCCCTGGAACTCCTGCCCCCTGGCACCAGGTAACACCTGGTGACAGAAGGCTTTTTATTTTGGACACTCAGTCCTTAAAAGGTTCACCACCATCGATCTATAAGATTTGAACACAACCCTCTGCATCCACAGAGTCTGCATCCATGGACTGAACCATCCACAGCTTGTGAATATTCAAGAAAAAAAATAATCCAAAAAGCAAACTTTGATTTTTCCCATTTGATACAAAGGACTCCATTTCACTGCCATTGTTTATTAATGGAACTTGAGCATCCACAGATTTTGGTATCCATGGGAAGTCCTGGAACCAAACCCCATCTGATAGCAAGGGCCAACTGTAATATAATTAATTTCTCTCTGTCAATTCATTAATAATGATTATACACTTTAATATTTCCTCTGAATACCCAGCCAGAGACTAAGCCTGATTGTTGGGAAGAGTCATGATTTGTCTTTGCACTTGGATATTAAAAACGGCAACTTTCCTTGCTTTTTTGTGGCTCAAACATTAATCTCTGTGCCACAGGAAATAAGATGAAGCTGCTCTCCACTCAGAGTTCCCTACCTAACAGCTTATTCTGCAGTAAGAACTTGGAAGAGACAAGGCCACCTTCTCACACTTTAATCTTATAAAAGTACAAAATGCATCAAAGCTTCTGGGTAGCCATCTGCTAGCAGAATAAATAAGCATTATTATAATCCATGGTGTTTGTGGCACTTAAATACTTCAAGAACTGGAATTGCTTACTCATACACATATATTCTTACTGCCCAAAGTCTAATAAATTAATGATGTTTGACTGTGTAAACTATTCTGTCCATCTTGGTTAAAAAACAAACAAACATGAGTATTGCAAGTTAATTTTTTTTAAAAAAAAAAACTTTTGATAAGGATATTATCCAAATATTCTGGAAATTAATTTCTTAAAGAGGTTGATATTGGTGCACTAGGGAGATGTATGCCACATTCTCCACCATACATACCCAGAATTAGAGAAAGAGACATCTTCAACCAGTGTTTCTTTGGCTTGGCAGTTAACCAACTGGAGTGGCTTATAAAGG